ACATGTTTTATTTTTTTCTCCACTCTAGGGGAAATAAGGAGCCTTAGTGGTACACTGGGTTAAGCACTGGACTGCAAACCACCAGGTTGGCAGTTTGCCCTCACCAGCTGCTCCATGGGAGAATGCTGAGGCCTTTTGCTCCCATAAAGAGCTTCATCCTTGGAAACCCTGTGGGCAGTAAACTGTCCTATCGGGTCTCCTCAGGTGGGAAGTGACTCATGGTCCTGAGTAAGGCACACAAAGGAGCAGGAAGCAGGCCCCTCGGCAGGTGGGGTGTCTGATGCACAGGCTCCCGATTGCCCAGATGGAAAAGGTGGACCTTCTAGTGACTTCGCAGGCAGCACCCAGAGCAGCTTTCTCTCTGCTAACAGCTTTCAGGAACACGCTGCGCACCGCAGCTCCGGAGAGACCAGGCAGCAGCCAGAGGGGTGGAACTGTCTTTTTTGGCTCCCTGCACCATACCAAGAAGAGTGTGTTAGACAATAAATTATTTCCGTGGTTGATAAAGGAGCCCTGGTGGTGTCGTGGCTACACACGGGGTTGTGATCTGTACAGTCAGCAGTTGGAAACCACCAGCAGCTCTGGGGGAGAAAGACTGGGCTTTTTACTCCTGTAAATAGTTAGTCTCGGACACCCACAGGGGGTCGCTGGGAGTCAGCACTGACTTGATGGCAGTGAGTCTGGTTTGCTGGTTTTTTCCGCAGTTGATAACGGACCCCTGGCGGTGTGATGGTCATGTGGTGGGTTGCTAACTAGTCAGCCGTTTGAAACCACCAGCTGCTTCTCCGGAGAAAGAGGAAGCTTTCTACTCCCATAAACAGTCACAGTCTCAGAGCAAGCAGTTCTACCCCGTCTTATAGGGTTGCCATGAGTTTGCATCAACTCGATGCAAATGATATTTGATGATGGGCTATGTGTCTTTGGGGCTCAGGAAAGAACAACAAAGGCTCCAACTCAGTGGGTGTTTTAAGTCAGGAATGACTAGGCTTAGAACCCCACACCAACTCCATGAGGGTCTATTGTGAGGCTACCAGGGACAATCTCATGGCTCCAAAATCCAATTCTCCTGAAAAGCAACATGGAAGCTGCTCACTACACCACTCTGTTTCTCTGTTCTCTCCTTCTGAGCATCAGCTTTATTTCCCTCTTTTCCCAGGAGGTTCCTCTCTATAACCATAGTTTATGCTCAGTCACAACTGCAGGTGCTCCTGGGCCTCGCCTGCAGTGGGGCAGCCTTTGCTGGCAGCATCACCTGGTGCTTCAGCTCGGCTCGAGTCCAGTACTGCCAACTAGATAGCATCTGCACCCTGGCTTGAGAGTTAGAATCGGATTGGTTTCCCCGACTTCAATTTGCTACTCCATTCCAATTAACTGTGGACCACATGGCACGATCATTTAACCCAACGGTGTACATTGTTGGGGCCTTAGAGGGAGCCAGTTCTAATTGGGCCAAGTCAACTGCAACCCACGCTGTTCCTGTGTGTGCCAGAGTGAAGCTGCTCCATTGTGGAACATGGGTGCAGCAGTTACATAATCTCCTATCCACTTTCAAAGGGGTGGAGTCTAGCCTGTCAATCACTTCACAGCTTGATGACCTCATTTGGAGGTGTAAAAGAGATAAATAGTTCACTGGAAGCCAGATACCACTCTGCTTCTTATTCATGATGACAAGCCACATGGAGCTATGCGGATGGAGCCAAAACCGTAGAGCTGGAGGAGCCACCTGGAAATTCACGCCAGCCCTGAGATGCATCCACTGCCACTGGATTCACAAGACTTTCCACCCACCGGCCTGTGATCTTCCTGCATTTGGGGTCCGCATATGTTGCATGAAGCTGAAGAGGAACTTATAGACTGCTATCGGGCATGGGGGGTGATAGCGGACTTATGGACTTGATCTGGACTGGTCTGGGATGTTTTCCCAATATACAATTACTCTTTTATATAAAGCTCTTTTTTTCTTTCTTAAATCATTTTATTGGGAGCTTTTACATCTCTTATCACAATCCATCCATCCATCCATTGTGTCAAGCACATTTGTACATATGTTGCCA